CTATAGTGTCTTGCTAATGAACTACTAATTGCATTCAGGTGTGTTGTAACAGTGACACATGGAAAAGTTTCAGGACACCGGCCCTCGAGGACTGGAGTTTGAGACCCCTGGTAGATCGTGTTGACGACTACATTTTAGTGTCTAAAAGTATCCAAACTGAGTTGCGAGGAGCTTTATCACATTTCGAAAGTGATGACGAACACGCTGGAACAGAAACGAATGCAAACTGACCTGTACAATGGAACCGCAGTGTCCCTTAGTGTTGTTAATGTGGAAGGAGATGAAGTCCTCTCCCTCAATGCCAGCGCAGTGCTCGTCGTTGATCCGGACATCTTCCCGTTCAAAGCCCAGCTGGAAGAGCTTACACTTGGAGATGGAAACCTGCATCTGAGCATGCTTACAGGTCACCTCCGCTTGGATGATGTCATCCTCGCCTAACAAACATCAACATCACCATAGTCATGATTAAATAAAAAAGTATTTTTTAATAGCTTTTAAAATGTTTGGCTAATCAAGTAACACTGAGAGTGTCAGATATTTAAAACTGAGTGATTGCAGCTGGATGAAGCACTCACCTTCAGTGTTGGTGGGTAACTCCGGACAGCCACACAGATCGCCTCCATTCTCCAGCTCACAGGTGAAGTTTGTGCAGATCTCTCCTGCACAGGGGTCATAGATCCATTCTGCTAAAGACAGGTCCACACACAATGTTAACTGTCACACAGATGAAGGCACAAAGTTTTTAAGAACATGCATGTATCTAATAGTGACAAAGCAGTCAAACAAATTTACATTTCACATCTCATTGTAGTAACACAGTGGTCTTGATGGAAGGCAATCTGGAAATCTTAGCAAACTAAGCTCATAATGTGTGAATCAATAATATATGAGACCCAATACTTTCACTTTTAGTACGTCTGGTAAATTCAGCATTAGCGCTGGTTTATATTTGTGTAAAGTGCAAAGTTGTGTTTATTTCCACCGTGGGCGTTGAGTCTGAGAGAAGTTCACGGTGCCCTTACAGCAGTTCTCTTGGGTGATCCACTTGGTCGTGAGGGTGCCCATGGACCGGCAGGCTTCTGCATAGGCGGCCAGTGATCCACAGACCTGAGCCTTGCGATGATTGTAGCAGCCATCCAGGTAGCAGGACTGGTAGAAAGGACGGGGATCCAGCAGGCCGTGGCATGGCTGGAAGAAGCCTTTGAGCTGGGTGAGCTTCTGACAGGCATCTTCACTCTGCAGAGCCAGGATGGCCGAGTTGTCGCAGGACTGAGCCAAAGCCACATACTGGGTCTCATCACAACTAGAGGAGAAAGACCAAAATCCAACTGTCAAAGGTATTAGGACGCGAGCAAAGAAGGAGCAAATGCCCTGTTAGAATTGCTCCGTTTGCTATTATCTGTATAAATGATTTGCATAAGTGATATGTTTGAGCAACAGCCAGTTAATATCGA